TCCGATCACTTTCCCTTCGTCCCTCTCCTCTCCTTCTCCATCCCCATGTCATCTACAAGAAAAGGCTATAACACATCCACTCAGATCCTGCCACGTGGACTTTCCAACCGACACAGCGCCCCGGTTGTTGAGGCCGACGAGAAAGATTTACACGAAACATGTTGATCGTGACCGTGAATTTACGTGTATGGTGATATTTTATCGGACCGTGTTTTTAATGCACCCAATGAGAGACTCTAGACGGACATTTCGATTTCAAACTTCCGAGTACCAACTAGCAGCCACTCCAGACGGCATTTCCAAAGTTTAAAAGGTCGTACATTCCTATCACCAATCCACTCCGTCAAATCCCGATCCAACGGCCCACATTTCTACCCTACGTTGACTTAAATACCCCTCCCCCTCTAGCGCCTCCATTTCGACCATTTCTACTCCTAACAACACATGCTGCTGCTGCCGCTGCAGCTGCTTCTCTGAGCTTCGCCACAGCAGGTCCCAACCCCCACTCCGATGGCGTCGATCGCCCTCACAACCGCCGCCACCACCCCCACCTCCACCCTCCCCTCCCTCAGATCCCGCACTCCCTTCCCCAAATCGCTACTCCTAAAGCCGTTTCCCGCCTCCCAAACCCGCCGAAACTCCCTCAAAACCGCCGCCTTCGGTTTCAACAAAACCCTCTCCCCCCTCATTTCCTCCCCCAAACTCCCCAATTTAACCCGGGACTTCACTCACTCCCGCCGTGGCTTCTCCGTCAAAGCCACTGTAGCCACCGGTGGGTCCTCCATCACTCCCGCCAAGGAACCATGGCAGGGCGCAGCTATGAAGCCTCTAATCGCGTCGATCGCGACGGGAGTTATCCTCTGGTTCGTCCCTACTCCAGCAGGAGTCACCAAAAACGCGTGGCAGCTTCTCTCCATTTTCCTTGCCACCATCGTCGGTATCATTACTCAGCCCCTGCCTCTCGGAGCCGTCGCCTTGCTCGGCCTCGGCGCCTCCGTCCTCACGAAAACGCTGACTTTCGGCGCTGCTTTCTCCGCCTTCGGAGATCCGATCCCCTGGCTCATCGCCCTCGCCTTCTTCTTCGCCCGAGGCTTCATCAAGACAGGACTCGGAAATCGAATTGCGTACCAGTTCGTCTCCCTCTTTGGTAGCTCCTCTCTGGGGTTAGGGTACAGTCTGGTCTTCAGCGAGGCCTTGCTGGCCCCAGCGATCCCTTCCGTCTCCGCCCGAGCCGGAGGGATTTTCTTGCCGTTGGTGAAGTCCCTCTGCGTCGCCTGCGGCAGCAATGTCGGCGACGGGACCGAGGGTAAGTTGGGGTCGTGGTTGATGCTCACGTGCTTCCAGACTTCGGTGATTTCGTCGGCAATGTTCTTGACGGCCATGGCTGCTAACCCCCTTGAGCGCCAACTTGGCATTAAACACGATTAAGCAGACGATTGGGTGGACCGATTGGGCCAAGGCGGCGATTGTGCCAGGTTTGGTGTCGTTGATTGTGGTGCCTCTGCTGTTGTACATTATATACCCGCCGGAGGTGAAGAGCAGCCCGGACGCGCCAAAGCTTGCAAGGGAGAGGCTGGAGAAGATGGGGCCAATGTCTAAAAATGAGATTATCATGGCCGGGACTCTGTTTCTTACGGTACTCATTCCTTCTTTTTTGTTAAAATGCCTGCATTGCGTGTACTTTTCGGTTTTTCAAATTTGGGTATGTTTTGAAGTTGCTTTCTACGCTAAATTTGATAATAATTGGGTATGATTACTAAATGTATTGAGGACAGGTGCTGCATTGAGTTACTCTAGCATAACTTCAATTTTTTGCAATGTCGAAGAGCAACACTGTTATTTGTAAGATTTAAATTAATGGGTTGTGCTTGTTGAAGAGCTATGCTCTGTTATCGAAGGAGGCTGTGACAAGTTTATGGATTGAATACCTGCAATAATTTGTTTAGTTATCAGCGGCATGCTTGGTTTCAGTTCCGTTGATCTGCTTTGACAAATAAGCTGGATGTTCTAAGTTTGTACGTGCCTTCAGTTTTTTAATTTGCATGTTCCTTAGATAATTTGATTGATTCGTCCTGTCAATTGCTGTTGGCATTTGTCTGTTTTCCCTTTTCCACGATGCTGCATAAAATACCATCCATTTCCATTTTTTGCTGAAGACTCCTATTTTCTATGATGCTGCGTAGAATGGCTACGCATTACCATTCATATTTAGTATACTAGAATGGTTCTTATATAGATGGTAGTCCCATTTGACATGATATGCATTCAGTACCTGCAAAGTTGACTTGTCTACTTTCAGGTTTTGTTGTGAGGTGGCATTGATTCAATTGGTGCTTTGGGAACCGAGCATTATGTTGTGTGAAAACTTTACTGGCAAGGTTCCCCTCGTCACCAAATAAGGGGAAGTAGTCTTGTGTAGGGTTCTTGTTCTTGAGTTGCTCAAATTATCAAGGTGTTGGGTAGGAACTTGTTTTGGCTGTTACTTGCTGCGTCTTTTGTAGGCATCCTTCCCCTTCGGTTAAAAACGAGCCTTTAACTTTTCTTAACCTGTCCTTTCAGAGTTTAGCATTTACCTTAAGCGTGATCATTGAATGCTGTTTGTTCAAGTTGCTGGTGTCCCCCTTGATCATTGGTTGCGGGTTATAATTCGCACATTTATTTCTCCTATGCCATGAATTCTAGCAGTTTATCTTGAATTAGTATTCTAATAGATCACTTGATTGTGGTAAATTATCTCCCTTTACTAACACGTGTACACAACTGTTTTGGATGCATATGTAAAATCTAGTGTGTTGTTTAAAATATTCATGCTTATAGTTTCCCTCCTTTTTTTCTGAACGCATATCAGGTGGGGCTTTGGATTTTCGGAGGAATTTTGGGTGTGGATGCTGTAACTGCTGCTATTCTTGGATTATCTGTTCTCCTCGTTACTGGTGTTATTACATGGAAGGAGCTTAGCTGAATCAGTGGCCTGGGATACACTTACTTGGTTTGCTGCACTCATAGCAATGGCTGGGTATCTCAACAAATATGGTCTCATTTCTTGGTTTAGCCAGACCATAGTTAAGGTTAGGCTTTCTTTCCGCTTACTGGTCACATAGTTGTGCATGCTTCTGATATCACCACTACTAAAAGTTATAAATGTAGTTTGAAGTTTCGGTTAGCATTACATTTTTCTTTTGTTTGTTTCTGTGGTGAAAAACTTTAGTACAGACTACAGAAACATAAGAGGATTCATCATAACTAAATTTATGGTCCTTTCAGAGTTGTTATTTGCTGTTTTTTATCCCTACATAATTTCACTTTGGCAAGTTTTTAAGTTTTAACTAGCTCAAAAGTCAATCTGCCGGTTACCCCTCATCTAATTTCGGGATGTTTTTGTTTACTGGCATAAAGTACTGTATTTACAATTCGCTAGGTTATCTACTTCAAGTAAAGCATATGCATCGGTGCACCATTATTGTGTCTCCTGCTATATGACCTCAACCTCAATGAATCTTCTGACGAGAGCCTCAACCTCAATGAATCTGCTAAAGAACTGTATTTAATTTTGGTCATCATTAACAATGATTCTGCTCTTTTTACAGTTTGTTGGCGGATTGGGTCTTTCATGGCAAGCGTCTTTTGGCATTCTGGTTCTTCTATATTTCTACTCTCACTACTTCTTCGCCAGTGGAGCTGCTCATATCGGTGCCATGTTTACAGCATTCTTGTCTGTTTCTACTGCCCTTGGTACTCCTCCATACTTTGGAGCGATGGTGCTTGCATTCCTCTCCAACCTCATGGGTGGTCTTACCCATTACGGCATTGGATCAGCACCTGTTTTCTATGGTGCTAACTACGTCCCACTTGCCAAGTGGTGGGGTTACGGATTCCTTGTATCCGTGGTCAACATCATTATTTGGCTTGGAGTTGGAGGGGTTTGGTGGAAGTTCATCGGCTTGTGGTAAAAGTGGTTGGCCTTGAAAACCTGCCGACCTGAAATTCGGCATGGTTTTTTCTGTTTGTTCACTCAGATGCGGTTGTTTCACTTCTTTCCGGGGCACACTAAGATCTTTCCCTTGAATTCTTTCACATGGAAATAATCTTGAGACCTTTTGGTGAAAAATGGGTATACATAGGAGGTCCATTTAGAGCAGAAATTATAAAATGTACCCCAAATTTTGATGTAGCATGACAATACAATTGAAGAATCATCATTTGTTGATGCTTGAATGTACCCTTATCCTGTGCTGCATTTATTTTCTTAGTGGTATATCAAGAACGAAGGGATCGTACCTTCGCCATAATTCTTTTAGTTTGAATAATTAACTGTGCATGGTACACCGCCATCAATAAAATAAAGATGTGTGTTAGTTTTTGTTTACATGATCTTATTTTATTGGCACGGAACGTCATGTGATGTTGCACCCATGTCACGTAAGTTCTCTTAGAAGAATTAAAGTTTGCTATTTAGTTACTCGGCCTTTGTGTCACGTTGTCCAACTTAAATAGGGATCAGCATTGGGTACTTGTGGGAGAAAGTTGCGCATTTTTGGTATTAAACACGTGTTTCTTTGACGGTCGAAGTTTCTTAGTGCAAAAGTCAGCAGCGTGACTGACCACCGCATCACCACATTCACTTCATTCACCCGACCGAGCTCATTTCCAAATTGAGACGCCCTCATCAATATAAAGACATAATTAGCTCAATAGTTATTTGACATACGCACTACGTAGCTCTTGTAATTTATAGGATCACAGAAACAAAGTTTCGTAGCATATATAAGAGAAAATACACAACAAGACACATACTTTTTTGTAAACTAAAACATAAGACATTATTCATATCACAAGTTAAGAAAAACATATATTATTACAAGCGATATCATTATTCTAAACTACACTAAGAGAATGAGAGAATGAAAAAAGGTTTAAACTTGAGACGCTATGTGCTAAAAAAGAAAATCATATCCACCAGGACAATTCACAGTGTGCTGTTAGATAACTGCCACGCATACTTAGTCCATCCATCGGCTACAGAAAAGCATACCAAATATGAACACCTCCCAATGCATATCACAGGCTTTGCATTCCCCATTCCACTCGATTTGCTTTTGCCCAATCATGGTGGCTTCCATCATTCCAACAGTCCAGTCATTTTCTAAATCGGCTCCACATGCACTACAATGTAGTTTTTTCTCACAGTACGGCAAAATGGTGCTGAAAACCATCTCCATACTCACATATGGCATGCCTCCAACATATTCAGCCATTCTGTCCCTACATTCCTGTAAATTCGATGGATTAACTGCATTAGACATGATGTTTAGACCTGTTGGGACCTCGTCTGCCCCGGACATCACCAAAATCGAGCAATAAGCAATGGATGTACATGGATGCCCGCCGTTTGCTGCGCGCATCAGCCATTCTCGTCCCAGCGCGCTGCTGGTACTTCCTCTACCAAAGTAGTGATCCATTCCATGTCGGAACAAAGCCTCTTCGTTCCCGTTCTCCCGACAACGGTCCACGAGGTCCTGGTATCTGTTTCCATAAAAATCAACCTGAGGGAAGTCTGGAACATCTACCAGTGACATCTGCCGATATATTGACTCATTTTCGTCATTGTTATCTGTTTCGAAAGGAGGCATTTTTTTATAATGTACTGCTTGGATTGATTCACAAGTGACCGAATGTTTGCTTGCAAAATGAACATGGATAGACTCAACTCCAACTGCCTATTTATAATCTCCAATGCTATATTTCGTAGTAAATACTTTTGTGCAATGTAAGCACCCTAATGTTGCAATTGAGTGTGGGGAATTGTCATACATTCATCAAACAACTTAAAAAGTTATAATATATCTCTAAAAAGTTAAATTCGAATTGGATTTATTCCATCCAAATTTGAATTAATAGTGCGTATATAATCGGATTATCAGATTCGAATTATTGAATTAACTTATAAATTCATATTCCCATCATTACTAGATACATAATTGATATGATGATTATTTGGTTAATATTAAGATCTATAGGGTGCGGTTGTTGCATTGGACTATCTCAGACTGGACTAACTTCAGTGACTAAGCTGGACTGACTTGACTTGGACTAAGCAGGATAAGAATAATGAAGTATTTGGTGCATTATAAACAAAATATTTTTTAGGACCCAAATTATTATTTTTGATCCACACTTTTTAAATCATTTTTATTTTAACCATTTCTTCAATTTCTTCTATCATTGTCTGCAAAACAAAACAAAACAAAAAGAAAAATATTCACAAATTGCTCTGCTTCAAGACCCTTCACCGTTCTAACAAAAGATCTACAACTAAATTCACAAAGTGCTCCTACGTATTCAACCACTGACCCCTAGGGATGGGCAAATACCTATTGGTTATGGATAACCGCGGTTATCTACCCTTTTAAATTAAACGGTTACAGTTATGGGTAACCGTTTAGATAAATAAACGGTTATGGGTATAACCGTTTACCTACGAAATTTAAATGGGCGGTTATGGGTATTAACCGCGGTTATAAACGGGTAACCGTTTACCCATTTATTTTATATATGTAAAACTAACACAAACCATGTTCTCGATCCAATAATACTTAGCACCTAATAAATTAGCAAGGAATTTATCGGTCCTTCTCTCAATAACACTGCTACAGGAATGATGATTCTCATCATCAAGGAATTGGCCAAATCTATTTAAATTTTTTGCGGGTAATCGTAAAATTGATAGAAATGCTTTGACAGAAATGTCTTCTAAACAATTTTTGTAACCCAATAATACTTAGCAAATATTATATTTACCTTCATTGGTAACAGTTAAAAATATTGTCCGTAAACTATTATTTCAATTATTGGAATGGAATAAGGACTTAAAAAATTAAAATATGGAAATGTATGATGAATGTACTTATAACGGTGTTTAATTGTCAAAAAAAAGAAAGTTATGACAGTTTTTTTTTAATTTTCAAGTTGTTAAAAAACATGTAAACGGATGAAAAATGGGTAATAGTAAAAAAAAGAAAGATAAACGGGTTAAAAAGGATAAATGAGTAAACGGGTATTAAACGGTTACGGTTAAATGGGTATGTGATTATGGTTATGGTTAACCGTTTATAAACGGTTATGGGTATGGATATAACCGTTTAGGCAATTACCCAACGGGTAAACGGTTATGTGGGTATAAGCATAAACGGTTATGGGTAAATAACTGCGGTTACACGCCCGCCATAACCGTTGCTCATCCCTACTGATCCCTCACCCCTCACCCTTCTCTGTTGTTGAAATTGGAAGAATTCATTATTTCTTCTCCCGCAAATTGTAGATGAGAATATGGGGCGGGGAGCGGCAATTGGGATGGAGGGGTTGGGTGGTAATCAGATTAAGATTTTAGACTGCGGTCATTGGAGAAGGTCTGCTTGAGACGGTTAGATAAAGGCACTAATAGAGAGGCCCGGAGTCGAGGCGAGTCCGTGTTGGAGTAGGATTCTCTCCCCTCCTTTCTTCCCTCCCTTTCCCTCCCCTCCTATTTGAACTGTCACGGTTAAGCCACGTTAACATCTTATATTAATTTTTTATGGTAAGAGAAAGATAAAATAAGAGAATGTGAGAGGAGGGAATGGAAAGAGGAGAAGAGAGAATCCTAGTCCGTCCGAGTTAACGTCATTTAACTTAATCATTTGCTGCACCAAACATAGGATTATAGTCCCACTTAGTCTTGTCCCTCTTAAAGAAGTGTAACACAACCGGCCCTTAAAGTGCTTCATGGAGGAAATACTTTAAATGCTTTTAGAACACAAAAATATTTTCTCCAAAATGCTTTCAATCATTTTCAAAACACTTACAAATGAGTATTCTTTAGTTTTGAAGGCTATATGTATATAATATTAAGAATCATACATGACCCGTAGAGCTAGGCCATGGACGGACCTAGAGCCTAATATGTAAGGCCCCTGACCCTACCCATTTGAAAATGGTGGTGCCATCTACATACCATTTTTACCACCACACAGTCTTTGTTAATTTATATTTTTTTATCTTCTTTAATTTTCGATTTGACGCCGGAAAATAGAAAAGATTGTGTGAAAGCTAAAAAAAATGTAAATAGCATCACACCTTAAAAATGGCTAAATAAGGCCCGACTCTATGATTTGGTCGGGCCGGGCCATAGAGCCTTGATCCTTTTTACAGATCTAGTTACAAAGATTTAGTAAAATAAGAAAGTGATTAACCTAACTTAGGGACGATAGGAAACAAAATCCTATTTACAATTAATCAACAAAATTACTCATGTCAACACTCCTCTTCAAATCGGTGCATAAATATGTCTAATGCTGACTTTCCAAGTGAATTGTAAAACACCTTTTTACTCTTACACTACCTACATCAAGATATTTGCTAGTTAATGTTCATACTTCACAAACGGAAACCAAACATCTTGAGCTTCGAACTTCTCTTTTATCAAAATGTTTACCTACTTCAATATATTTCGCACAATCATTTTGAACTGGATTATGAGCAATGTCATAAGCAACCTTTTTATCATAATATAGATCCATCATCAGATTAGATTAAATTCAAGTTGAGTCCACAAATTTTTAGCCAAATAAGTAGAAACATATTTCATTGACTATCTCTTTATATTCAACTTCAGTGTTTGAGCTATTAATCACCTTTGCTTATTGCTTCGCCAAGTAATTAAATTATCCTCAGGAGAGGTAAAGTAACTAGATTTGGGCATTCTACCTGTAATAATATATAGTATTCACAAAGAAAGTGCATAAATACACTACCAGACTCACAAGATATGTAAAATTAATTAGGTCTTCAAATTAACTTTCTTTTTATTTTTAGAAGAAGAGTACTGTAACATCCCACATCACTCAGGAAAATGGATCCTCTAAACATTATATGTATATTCTCTCTACCTAGCACAAGGCCTTTTGGGAGCTTACTGGTTTCGGGTTCCATCGAAACTCCGAAGTTAAGTAAGCGCGAGAGCAATCCCAGAATGGGTGATCCACTGGAAAGTTCTCGTGTGAGTTCCCAGAAACAAAACTGTGAGGGCATGGTCGGGGCCCAAAGCGGACAATATCGTGCTACGGCAGAGTGGAGCCCGGGATGTGGTAGGGGGCCGGGGTGGGATGTGACTATTTTGTATCAGAGCCAATCCCTGGCTGGAAGTGTACCGACGAGGACGTCGAGTCCCTAAGGGGGGTGGATTGTAACATCCCACGTTGTTTAGAGGAGTAGATCCTCTAAGCCTTATATATATATATTCACATCTCTACCTAGCACAAGACTTTTTAGGAGCTCACTGGTTTCGGGTTCCATCTTAACTCTGAAGTTAAGTGAGTTCGCGTGAGAGTAATCCCAGGATGGGTGACCCACTGGGAAGTTCTCTGAGTTCCTATAAACAAAACCGTGAGGGCGTGGTTGTGGTCTAAAGCGGACAATATCATGCTACGTTGAAATCGAGCCCAGGATGTGATGGGGGCCCAGGCCTGGATGTGACGGGATGTGATGGGGGCCCAGGCCGGGATGTGACAAGTACGGTATGAATGATTTTTTTTAGAAGAAGAGTACGATATTTCTTTCATACTAATCTTTACTACGTTGTTCGTTATGTAAAACCGGATTGAGATATTTTCCTAAATTATAGTTTAGCACAATCAGAGGTTTCCAAAAGTGCATTCCTATTTCAATTAACAAGTCTAAAATATATTACATTCGAGATATCAATATTTATATGATGCTATAAAAAAAAAGGAATTAGTTATTGGTTTCATCATAACATTCTATCTTTTTTGGAACTGAGAATATTTATAGAGGTATTTTAATCTCCATCTGACCACCATCATGTAATTCATCAATATCAGGAATTGAATCTAGAACCTAACATATATTATTGACTTGAAATTTTTGTAAAATAACATATATTATTGACTTGGAATTTTTGTAAAATTACATTTGATTTAATTTCACTTTAATTCGATGACATGGAATTTTCTATTATTGGCTTGACTTCGAATTTTCCATTATTGACTTGGCTACCACCAGTCATTTAACCTGAAAGTGATGGAAACTTGGCTGTTAGCCATGGAAAGAGATATTCTTTCCACCTAATTCTCCTCATCAAACAATTTAAACCTGTAAAATTTGATCCAACGACTAAAACACAAGCCCACTTTATAGCTAAAATTATCCTTGAGATTTGAATAAGACATCACTTTGGTCCCTGAGATTGAAAATCAATATAAATGGTCTCTAAGATTGTCCATCATCCATTATTTTAGTCATTCCGTTAAAAACTTCATTAAGTGTCTCAGAGATCTTGGCCGGAAGTTTGGGCAATTTTCAAAGTTTTGTAGCTGAATCGTTTTTCAACCAAATTCAACCCATAATATATCAAAATAAAGATAGTAAAGTGTAGAATAAGATTATACCTATTTGGAAGCCCAATTGTTAACAGAGATGGCTGAAAAATAGTCTGAAAGGTGACTGGTCCGTGGGAAAACTGGAAAACTCGCCGAAAACTGGGTAAACTTTAAACGTTCATAACTTCTTCAATACTCAACGAAATTGAGTGATTCAAAGTGATTCAAAAACCAAAATCATACTTCTCAACGAGATGAAG